ACTCATAATAATTGCGTTCTAGACGCCAGATGAGATGTTTCAGCTACAATGTAGACAAACCGTCCGTGTTCAAGAAAGCCGTCACTTCATCTGCTGTCCATCCTCAATAGCACGTTCAAGCAAATACGTCTGAAACACAGTAGCGACAATCCGACAGCGGCGACACGCCGTCTTCTCTGAATGAGCTTCTCCCTGGCTTCTGCCGTTCTATTTCAGAATTATGTGCGTACATACTACCGTAGATTTACGGTGTCCTTTATTGCAGGCCCAGGTGGTTTTCAGAGCACTTCACAGTGATCTACTACTACTATTCTTACATGACACATGATCGTTGCCATGCCGGGGCCATGGCCGATAGGCCCTATTCAAAATTAAATTTAATATTCTTACATGACACGTGATCGTTGCCGGGGCCATGGCCAATCAGTCCGTGCGCCAAGGGGTACTCAAGGGCTGATTTTATTTGCAACCGCGGGAAACGAAGTCACCAAGACGCCTTCATTTGAGGCTTTTGGAATTGGAGAATTTATTGAATTTAGGTATGGCTCTCTTCCCTTCTAGAGAACTAACCAAGACCCTGTGGGGGCAGAAGGAGACTTCTTTGGCTCCGTGAGTACACTAGCTATGCGGTGGTCTAGTTAGTTTGAGTGTGTGGTTCGTATTCAAAGTGTTCCAAGCCGCAGTTCACTCGAAGGTCATCGTGGATACGTCTGCACTTGAAAATCAAGGCTGGAAAGGACTGCCTGGTGTGTCCGAACGGTATGTTTTGCACTGAAGGCATTTTTTGTATGAATTGTTGAAAGTGTCTACTTGTTCGAAATGCAAAAGAGATGGCCGTAGATCCTTGGCCCACAACACCCCACTAAATAAACTATGACCTGTCGTGAAATTATGTGAAATTGATCAACACAATCATCCACAAATTATCCTATGCCAAAGTACTGCAAATGCAAATAATGGCATCCCTTTACCTAGGTCATGTTTGTAGGGCCTTATGCCACATCTTTGCATGATTTCCTCATGCAAATCGTGTGCCTAGCTTCGAAAACACATTGCGCCAAGTGCCGAATATATACCTGTGAATCAGAACAACAGGACTCACTATTGCTTTCATGAGTGGTAATGGTCAGCTGAAAGGAAACTTCTATCCATCAACTCATAAGTAAAGTAATGACTAATCTCCTTGCTGCGCATGTGGTTCCTTCGTATTTACATGTACCGTAAAGTACCGCCAGAGCGCCCCACTATCTCGTCCTTTCGGGGTCGTATTGTGGGGGTGGTCTCCTGTCTGTAGGTTATACGACACGAACTTTGTACACATATTGCACGTTCTGCAGACAATCTGTGCCTTCGAGCGGACACGAGCTCCACACAAAAACCTGCTTAGTGTGACCTTAGTACACTAAGTTGCTCACACCGTACGAACTTCGTTGCACTCTGCCATACGATTTTCCTTTCCCTGGCTGTATTATATAAATTTGTCGCAGCAAAATCAAGGTGGGGCGCTCTCGCGGTACTTTACGGTATGTGCGCCTCTCTGTGTTCGGTGAATGATTTTGAATATTTGCGCACGACTTCAGGATAGTGCACATTGTATGCATGTACCTGCATATGTAATCCTTTCATGATTTAAAAATTAGGAGCCGTGCTTCTCATCACCGTGGACAAGTAAATGTCGGCCAATTACGTAGCGTTTGGAGATTTGCACAAGTACAGTTGCGTGTTTATTATGCGGCACCCGCGGAATAAAATGAATATTCTGGACGACTGAAGCTACAAAGCCATCTTGTGTTAACTTAACAGATCAAAAAGACAGTACTTCGAAGTACCTGTATTTATCACTAGTATTACCCTGAGACAGTCGTGCTCATCTCTAGAGACTGGCTTGTATTTAACTCTACGTAATGGCAACTTTCATGATGCTGACTGTCTACATTTACTTGAAGTAGGACTATAAATACTAAATATAAGGTCTATAAGCTGTCAGTGCGGTGCTGTTGGATACCCGACATGCCATGTGACTGACCACCAGATACTAGTAAACGACATGCGATTGTACCGGTCACAGTGTAGCTGGGTTTTCACGAAAATTTGAAACTTA